TGCATAAATCGCATCAATACTCTGAGCAAAGATTAGTTGTCTAGTATATCGTTTTGTTTTTCATTCAATCATTCATTGGGAAATACAAGAAACCTTTATTATAATGAATATTGTGTACCTAATGCCCAAATATTTTCAAAATGTTATAAAGTGAACTTGGTTTGGACATACCTAAGTTATCTAGTATTTTGCAACACATTACTTTTGTGTTGAGAGCAGGCTGCATTTACAAAGATCATGCCATCAATTTTGAATGATTTATCAAGCCTTTTTCTCCCCCCTATATATTCATGAAACTCAAGGATTATACTGAACAGTTGTTTCGTCCGCTTTTGGGACTCTTCATCCAATCCACTGGTGATCGAAGTCAGGAACTTTAGATTGTGTCTCAAGTAGCTGTGAATGACTAACGAACGTAGTCTTGATGATGCATGAAGCTCCCAGGTTCGATGGCAGATGGTGTTATCTAGGATGAGTATTGACACTGAAGAGTTCTACACTAGGACAAAATGAGGTTTCCTTCAATGATTCTCTAACTGATATCATGAATGTTTCCTCGAATTCGAAAAAAAAAATTCGAATCTCTGGAAATTGACTCTTGAAAATCAATATGTTGCTAACTAGTGACCAGCTGACAGGAGGAAGTCCTGATCACTGAGATACACAAGGTTCGGTTTGATAACAAATGCTCGGAGATGAAATCGGCCGGCTTTTTGGACAAAAATCACGAAATAACAAGAATCGCACATAATTTACGGTCCATTCGAATCTGGCCTAATTGGTTGGATGATCAGCGAACTTAGAGTTTTTAGAATGTGAGAGTCCTAAGCCCGATGGCCCAGTAGTGATGAGGTGATGCTCACTTACTGATTAGGAGACACAAACTACGGTGAAAACTGTCTAAAATCGGATCATGTATTGTCATGTCAATTTGACGACCATTGAAGAAATCCATCTCGGAGTACTGAACGCCCCCCCCCCGTTCCGTCAGCCTAGTTTAGGACTTTTTGGTAGCAGTATGCACTCATTACACTCCACTATGTATGATTGAATCGAAGACCTTCAGATTCCAGCCCAAGTGACTCCATGATCACCCTTAATCAATAATCATGGACAAAAAAGGGAAGCTCAATATGAGGGTGGCAAAGGTGGATATCAGGGCTATTCGCCTAATTAGCCTAATAATAAGCAGCTAATTGTTTAGTGTCGGAGGAAACAGACTTTAGCATTTCTGGTGTCTTTAGTAGTCTCTTCCAGGCTGCATATATTAATCAGGATGACAGGAAGATAAGGTAGTATGAAAATGTTTGACAATGATATCTGCGATCATCAGATATTTGAGAATTCAATTAGAACAAGCTTCCTACTAACAGAATCATTATGCTTTCAAGAAGTTAAAATCTTCTCAATTGTACTCTTGCCATTATCATTCCTATTATTGTTACTCATGTCTTGCAATCCGATCGGAACACACAGATCTTCTTCAGCATCACTAGATGGCTCCAAGAGGGCTCATAGACTTTTAGTTATCTGTCAAAGTTAGACTCCAAGAACCCGTTGTTCCTCACTGGTATCTGACTGTAGCATCTAGGAGACAATTTCACTCAGCGATCTTCGAAGCTGATGTCCATTTCACCTCCATTTCCTTCTGTACAACTTCAGTTGGCTGTTGGTTGTTTCACTGGCCGATGGGTTTCCTTGTTGCTTATCTTTTCGTCTAGTGACTACTAATTCAATCTTAGCCCGAGAAATCAATTTCATAGCTACCCAGATATTTCAAAACACTTTTGTGTTACACCTAAAGAGAACAAAGGACGCACTGGATACAGAACTGCGCCCACAGGAACAAGCTGGATTCAGGAAAGGCAAATCATGTTCTGACCAAATTGCAACTCTACGCATCATCATCATCAAAAAAACATGGAATGGCGATCAAACCTCTACCTCAACTTTATAGACTTTGAGAAGGCCTTCGACAGCGTTGACCGTGAAGTAATTTGGAAATTACTCGAGTACTATGGCGTACCCCAAATATTCATCAACCATCCTTATTCAGCAGCTGTACGACAACGGAACATGTCAAGTGATCCACAACGGAAAACTCAGCGAGGCGTTTGGAGTAAACACAGGAGTCAGATAAGGCTGCCTGCCTATTATCACCAATGATATTCCTAATTGTGGTGGATTGGATTATGCGTCAATCAGTGGGACGAGAAGACAGGAATATCCTGGACCGACGTGAAGAGCCTAGAAGACCTAGATTTCGTGTGTGGATGATTTATGTTACATGTCACTGTCACAAAATCGAAGACTTACAAGCGAAAACCAACCGACAAACTGGTCGAAGAAGCAGCCGGCGAAGACAGGACTCCAGGGGAACAGAGACAAAATGGAGGTTGTGAAAATAACCAACCAGCCAACAACAACGACAGCAACAGCAGAAATATCCAGCGACAATCAATATCAACGGGAGGGATTTGAAAGAGTTTACTTCATACACTTATCTAGGGAGCATTGTCTCAACTACAGACAGTCGGAACGCACGAGGATGTCAAATCGAGTGAGAATCGGGAAGGCGAGAAACATATCAATATCACCAACCTGAAACTAATCTGGAAATCGTCGTCACTCAGCCAGCATCAACAACAAAATTCCGTTGGATTTTCAATACAAACGTCAAGTCAGTCAGTTCTTCTACACGGATCAGAAAGTTGGCGGGCGAGTCACAAAGAATATTTCCAACCAACAGGATAACTCAGACCTTTATCAACAACGACAACTGTCTTCGCTGACTCTAGACTGAAGATCAGATGGCCGGGTCGGAATAACCAGAATCACCAACAAGAAGAAACTATTGGAAACAAACAAACAAAACAAGAACCAATCGCTAACCAACACAAATATGCAGGAGATGGAGTGGAGATGACACATTGGACACTCGCTCACTGAGCAGGCCGTCACTGGGTGACATCGCGCGCGCATCAGTCCATTGCTCGAGTGGAACCCGACAAAATGGGAAGCGGCGAGTGGGACGACAGTGCAAGGGTGACATGTAGGAGCTCGTGTGAAGAGGATTTCAAAGAGCATGTATGGACTAACATGGATGCAGGTGAAAAGTACAGCAGAAGAGAGAAGCAAGTGGAAACGCGCAGTTGAAGCCCTCTGTTCCAAGGGAACAATAATAATATATAACAATAATGCATACTGCATATTACTGCCGGTCTTAAACTAAAATTTCCATAACCGCTTTTAAAACAGTAATAGTTATAGGTGAGTGAAGGGTTCCAGCCTCAATAGTAGGAACACCGTCAATCACAAATTACTTTTGTACCCACAGGGAACAAGGGATGCTTAGTTCTAGGAATAGCTATCGCCTCAGAGTACATTTGAACTTGTTGACTGTCTTGTAGACATGAATAAAATATAAAAGATATGAAAGTGTATGCTTTCGACGCTAATTCTCTGTTTACTAATGTACCACTGATGATTAAGACTGTTGATATTTTTCATCAAGTATTGATTTTTGTAGGGATTTAATTTGATTGGTTGGTTGGTTGTTTGGAGGATTTCATCATGAACTGACATCAGTTAGAGAATCATTGGAAAACCAGCCAATGGGAGTACTGGACAGCCGGCTGTTTTGTCAGCCTAGTTTGGGACTCTTCATCAATACGCTCCCCTAACAGGGTTTGAACCCACGACCTTCTTCGTGACTATATATTGTCAAGTTGTTCTTCAGTCCATTTTCCTTTAAATTATTTGGAGGATTTATTACTATTATGTACTGACAACGTCCATTTCACATTTATGAAAGGTGAGCATTTTCGACAAGTGGATGGCGTTGCTATGGGAGAGTTCATTAGAACCCTTGTTGGAGGATGTTTAAGTGTTTTATATTGAAAGCTTGAGGCGTAATTTAATTGTTAATGCGCGATTTTCGTGGGAGATATGTGGAAAATATTACTTTAATGTACGATGATCATGGGGATACGAGTCGTTTACTGGAGAGAGACTTAACTCTATACAGTATTACATAAAATAAAGTATAATTATATTTTAATAGTTTAATAGTTTTAGTTAGTCGACGGAAAAATCCAAAACTTCAATTAGGTTTGGAAGTTAGTTAGCTCAAAAGAATCTACAATCTGTTCTGTCGCTAAGATAGATGTTTTCATTAAATTATCATACAGTGGGTGAGTAGGTAGTGGCATTTAGAAAAAGAGATGAAACTCGGCCATCCGTGGAACATATTATGCAGCGCGGCTTGTAATCAATGAAAAAGCCAAAAATTTACTCCACTGTAAACCTCAAAATTGCATAGGTCATTATGTCATATCCCACACTATTTCCCTACTTAGGTGTATATGTGAGCCCTCGAGTGGAACCTGAAAAGGAAGCGGCGAGTTGGTCGTCCAAAAGTGATTTGGAGGAGGTCATGTGTGGAGGAGATGAAAGCATGTGGACAGACCTGAAGCGGAGTGAAAAAGTTGGCAAAGTTGCAAAAGAGAAGGCAATGGAGACGCGCAGCTGAAGCCCTATGTTCCTCTAGGATTTAAAGGATATAATAATAGTATACATTGGGAGGAGTAATCGTGCTTTGCATACGAGGGTGATAGAAGATATTCTGAAGTGTTTAGAAAACCAGATTAACTTTGAAAATAGATAGACGCAGGTGGCAAACACTACTAACTTCGTCTGTAGCTGCACATCAACTAGATAAGAACCACACGATTGTTGTCAAGAGCGCCTTTAAAGGTTATTTTGAAAAACCGGACAAGAGAGCTTATTGAAATACCCTGAAGGGATAGCCATTCTGAGGCGATCACTCAGTGAGACAGCTGGTACAGCCAGAGATGACGAGTTTCAAATAAAACGAAATGGATATTATGAATTCCAGTGCTTGTCAGCATCAACAAAAAGTTTTAAACAAAACAGTGATGGAAGTTTAGGGAATGAAAACAAATTGAGATAGATTTATGTGAAATTCAACAGAAACTTACGGGAAACACTGTCTGTTGATTTTCGTGAACCTAAAAACACAAAAATACAAGTAAAATAAGGTTGTCAAGATGAAAAAAAGGTTAAAAGTATATAATTTCATATAAGTCTCATTATTAGATATATCACACAGTGAGTGAAACTGTATTATTTACTGGATGACGCAGTTTCGAACACAGTTCATCATCGTTCATAATCATTTCATCAATTATAATCACACGACTTCGAAACTTGAGTTTTATAGTTTTCTTTGTTCTCTCCTATTTGTCGTATGTATGGGTAGTAGAATTTTCCAGATATCCACCTGTACAGGTGATGAATCATTCCTATTACACGTATTCTCCTCAGTTGATTCGATAAACAAAGCCTCAGTCAGTTATGAATCTCTCCCTATACCCTGTGACATTAGATTTGGAAACTGTCATCCTATCCCACTGTCTGTATTGTATGGTTGTGGGTAATTGCATGTATTGTAGTGCTATGTCTGAACTATTCTCTAGAATTCTTATCTTATTCGGGTCAACCAATCTAGATTTTGCAGCTAGGTGTTTATGTTCGGCTTTTCTGACTGCCCCTGTTCTACTAGTTTGACCTGTGTATTTGACCTGACAATCACTGTGGGCAGGGTATTAGATAAACTGAATTGTTTTGTTTAATGGGTTGCTCCACAAGATCCTTTAACCGAAAAAGCTTGTTTCTAATAGAGTTTGTGGGTTTGAATACCAGCCACTTTTATTGCTGCCTTGTTAGGAATTCTGCGTAAGGTTTACGAGGTTCCTTCCTAGTATAGGATTACTACTGATGATTTAGATTCCCTATTGTTGGTGTCGTGATTAATATTAATATTATTATCGCAATTATTATTGTTATCATTATTATTATCAATATCACTACTATCATTATTCATCTTATTTTTTACATTTCCCTTCATACTTTCTGACTAAGTTGTCGGGGTAATTATTTAGTTTCAAAGCTTCTCGTCTATGTGTGTCACTTCCTGTCTTAGATTTTCACAGGTACTACTTACTTTTTGTGCTCTGTCATTTAAACATTTCACCAATCCTATTTTCACTGGCATTGGATGGGATGATCGGAAGTCCAAACATGTTTTTGAATGTGTGGGTTTTCTGTAAACACTGGTGTTTAACTTCCCATCTTCTTTCCTTTTTACGTTGCAATCTAACATTGGAAGTTCCCCTTCCTGACTTTGCAATTCATAAGTGAATTGAATTGCCTCTACCTTCGAGTTGATGTGCTCGAAAAATCTATCTATACCTTGTGTTCTGAGTACAGTGAATATGTCATCTACATACATCCACTATACATTTGGGGTGGGGGTGAACATTTTAATCGCTATCTTTTCCCACCTATTCATGAATATATCTGCTACAACCGGGGACATTGGTGATCCTATGACAACTCCCTCAGTTTGTTTGTATATTTTCCCTTGAAATTTAAATACTGCAGAAATCAGGCAAAGCTGCACTCCCAGCATTATGTCCCCAAGTGGCACAATGATGAATTGTGTTCGAAACACTGTCATCCAGTAAATAATACAGTTTCACTCACTGTGTGATATATCTAATAAACAAAATAATATGGAATTACTTACTACCACAGTGCCCAAGTTTTACACATATAATTAAAATATGCAATGAGGTTCGACTGTACTGCCAAAATCAAACCAACCTTCGACAAATTCATTATTTTCATTCGTTTCGATTTTATTTGAGTGTCTTTCTTGGCAGTGATGAGATACAGTGCCAAGCTGGTTTAACCTCAGTAAGTGGAGTGGGATTCAAGCCTGCGACCTGATCATTCGAGACATATATGAGCCGATGGATCCCTTCCCCTAGTAGCCAAATATAATGTGACTTCTCGCCTTAACCAGAAGGCTCTGACTTTGATCTCGGCGATGGCATGAGGTTTGTCATATATGAGTACACATAGATGAGACACATCACACTAGTTACTAATGTTCAATCAAAGTATCTACTACAGTCCTACGGAAGGTAGATCGCTAGTCCAAATAGCTCAGTGGTAACGTCTCTGACTGCAGTACTCATTGGGTGACACGGTGTGGAATACGTAACAGTATGATTGTACACTTTTTGTGAGGTGTTGAAATTAGAGACACTTTACATGACTTTTGTTTAAAACGATTCATGTTTAAATACAAATAACTTCTGAGTACAATTCGAAATAGACTACACTGTTGGTAGCTTCGTCTTCTCACTGGCCATTACTGTCTACTTGCTCCACTCATACTGTGTTGTATTTCAGGGACCTATTATCTTTATCCGAAGACAACTCTACAACCGGCACACAGCCTTGCTGACGAGTGGCAACTAGCACGAAACCTAGGTTCAAGGCTTCCTGTGGCCGATTGCCTCCAACCATCTAATACACAGCTTCTACCAGTAGACACGATTCTAACAGTCAACGCTTCTGTGGATTATATTAATAATTTTGTAGCAGTGGACTTTAACAGTATATCCAAGTAACCTTTTAATTAGTACAACTCATTACTGTATTTTTGATAAAATATTGTTAACTTGGATTTTTATACGCATTCTTGTTATGTTATTGAGCTCGCTAGATAGTCCCCTACAAATTAATTGGTGGTGAGCCCGACTGAACATGTTCGCTTTGTAAACTCTATATTGATATCGTTATCATTTTTACTTTTGAATAAACATTCTATATGTTTTTCTTTTATATCATTTTACCTGTGTATTCACATGATACTCATGTCTTCACTCACCAGTTCACTTTCTGCACCTGAGACTGGAGAGGCCTAGGACTCGACAATCAACGCAATAGTCGACTGCGTCTACCTCCTTTTGGTTTCTCTTAGCCGCGGATTTGGTTCACCATCATTGAGCGCCTTTTTTGCTACCCGACGTATTAAGTCACATATCGGAAAGTATGGATGTGTCTTAGCTGCACTGCCCACAGAGGTAGTCGAGGACATTATTGATTTAATCGACAGCACTCCTGCAGATCAACAATATGATAGACTCAAAGCAGTTTTGATCCAAATAATGAGTGTGTCTGATGAGAAGTGGATCCATCAGTTATTCACTGCATGCGACTTTGGCTCACGGACTCCATCTCAGCTTCTCAGGCATAAGGATCAACTGCTTAATCCACACAAAGCCGACGGAGTGGTTTTATGACAGATGTGGTTGCAACGGTTGCCAAGGCATATTCAACGGGTTTTGATTATCTCCTCCAAATCTGTTGACCTAGATACGCTAAGTGAGCTTGCAGACAGAATTCTAGGTGTAATGTCTGACACCAGTATATGCAACATATCAACAAGTCATGGGTTGCTAGTTCAGCGATTACGACATCGGAGAATAAGATGGACAAGCTAGAAACTGAAATTTCAAGGTCACCTGCACGAGGTAGCAGATCACCGTCCAGGTCAAAGCAACGTCGACGTTCTTTATCAAGACAGCCGACCACAACATCTTACAAAACGTCTACAGTCATACTGTTACGTGCCCGAATCTCAGAGGGCTGGGAAGTGAGTTCTTTCAACGTTGCAGATACGCCTTACTGCCTGGTGTGTACCACCTAGCAAAATACCTAGGTCGAAGGCTTCCTGTGACCGATTGCCTCCAACCACCTAACATCATCAAATTAATGTGCACCATGATGGTGAGCTACCTAGAATGGTGGCCACATTGCAAATCTGACTGATAGAATTCAGTATGCGCCAAAGAAAGGACTAGAAGCATCACACTAGTTACTAGTGTCAAATCAACAGATGAATTCTCCTGAAGAGTCTTAAACATGGGCGATTTAGCTAGCTCCACAGATTATCCATTACAGTCCTCAAGGGAGGTCATTCTCGAGCCTAAACACCTCGGTGGCAACATGTGTTTGACTGCATGCAGGCAGTACTGGGTGACATCGGTCCGAATTTTTGAATGGATATAAGATCCTCCAAGAGTGTTGATATGCCTTTCTTACGAAAACCAACAGGAATTAAATCTAAATGCAAGGCTTTACGCCAACTGCCTCTAACTGTCTCGAATAATAACAACAGTTCAGAGTGTACCATGATGGCAAGCCACGTAGTTGGTTTGGTGACAACATCACAAACTTGACTGAAGGATTTCAATCTGCACTGAGCAAATGAACTGCTACGCAGGGTTCACTCAAACTAACAAGTTGGTTAAGAAACCATTGGATAACCATCATGGAGTACTGTCAGACAGCTAGTTGTTTCGTCAGCCTAGTTGGGTACTTCGCTTCAGCAGTTTGCGCCCAGTCCACTGTCAGCGTAGGAACACATAGGACGTTGCGGCTAAAAAGTGAGTTTGTAGCCCACTACTCAGACACTGAGATACGATTCAGTGGTTAACCCGTGAATTCAAACTTGTTCCATTTCACGATATAGTGCAACTGGCTTTAAACACTGTCATCGGTGAGCGAGTATTTGTCCTCACACCCACCGGATTGCTGTACGCCGCTAGTCATGACTTCTCACTAGAACCTAGGTAACTGTCTACCTGAATAAAGCCAGTCGCTAGCGATCTGAATAGCCTTGAACTAGGACGCAATAGATGTCCTGCAATACTATAGTCGATATCAATTAATGATGAAATCCCATAACCAATAATAATCATAATAATATTCCAATTAGAAATGTATCGATACAAACGTACACATAAAAGAGCCACTCACCTGCTTGAATAAATCGATAAACAGCTTGAAATCCCCTGTGTGCAATCGTTGAATCACTACGAAATCTTAACCACATATACTGACCACTTGATATCAAGCCAGCGCCTAAATCTGGTACTTGTTTTGAGCAAAATCTTCCCAACAGCGTGGTAAAACCGAATGCACCATCACGTATTTCTAAAAAGTCTGTTGTACAATGTGATTCAGGTTCGAGCTCGAAAGTTCCACGGAAATGCAGAATAATACGATGTTGATCTGTTGGGGCTAAATTGAATTTTTTTAAAAAAAAACGGGGAAATAAAAGTTTGAAATTTATGATCCATTATTATTGATCCATCTTAGTCAAAATAAGCGTGTTATTCTTAATAAAAGTGAGTGGCAATTGTTTAAATTGTATTTTATTTCAAGTTTGGTCACAAATTGACGAAATCAGTTAGAGGAGAACCAGTGAAAACCAGTTTCGGAGGGTGGGGGAGGGAAAGGGGTACTGGGAACAACTGTTTCTTTTGGACTCCCCAGCAATACTCACACACACACACAACGGGGTTCCAACCCAACACCTTCCAGTTACAAGACCATTCAGCGACTGAGATCAGATTTAGCGCATTCCTGACTCTTACTACGACCACCAGACGATGTCGCCGGTGGTGGATATCTGTCCTGATACCCAACCTGAAGGATAGCACTGCTTTTTACCTCCGTCTGTACCTCAAGGTGACATAGTCCTGTAGCTGGTCATCATTAGAAAGCATCAGATTAGTTTCCATGAGTTTGGTTTTTATGGATTTGATGATCGTTTTTTTAAAGTTTTGGTCACAGAATCATGACATCAGTCAAAGAACCAGTGAAAACCAATGAGGCGGGGGGTAGTGGAAACCACTCAAGACATTCCGATTTTGACTTAGATGTCTTCTCTGAGCTGGTCAGTTGGTTGGTTGGTTGGTTTAATTGCGAAGCTTTCATCTTTAGCACAGGTTTTAAAATACAATGGACTGATTTAAATTCTCCATGAATGATATAATCGCATCTCCCCATCATCAGTGTCGTCACTGATTGTTAATTGACGTCTCTATTGCATTAGAAATCGATATTGCTTGTCATGTGATTTACTGTTTATTAGCTGGTAAATTCGATCTGTACTAATATGTGTTTGTCAATCGCTGGCTGATCCACTTGAGTACCAGGCTTCCAGGAATTCCGTGACTGCATTACTGTCTGGCATTTCCTCTATTTAAAATTTCTACATTATCCCCATCAAATTCGTGTCCGTAATTATCTACATGTGCCGATATGAAATAATATATATATATATATATATATATATATATATATATCATGTCTTTTCACAGCTAATTTATTTTCTTGGATTCGAATTCGAAGATGACGCTCACTTTGACCGATAAAATGTTTATTTCAGTTCATGTATGCAATTTATTTTGTAAATGGTATCAATTTTATCTTCCTTTTCTATTGGATGGGTCTTTCGATCTGCACAATATCGAATGTAGTGATTGTGTGGTCTTAATATTCCAGCTGTTACTTCAGAGATATTCTTTATATATCCTAGAGTAAATTCTCCTGTGGTCTTTGATGATCGTTTCTTGTTAGCGTTATGATTAGAGTTTAAAGACTTTCTTCTGATGAAATTGTCTAGGTGTTAATGCATTTTGAAGAAAGTACGTAGGTAAGGAAGACTGCAGAATGCAGGATAAAATAGATCTATGCTATTAAAACCCAAGAGAACCATAAATAATTCTTTTCTTTCACGTTCCCCAGTTGAACATAGGGCTTCAAGCTAGTGGCTTGGAGTTTCTCTGGCAGTGTTTAATTTTTACAGGATACGGTTGCTAGCCTCAGGCCCAACCCTTCCTCTTTACCTGCATTATTTCTAGTTAAACAAGGTACAGGAGTGCGTCAGTGGCCGGGGATCGAACCCCGAACCATATGCATGTTCGTCGATAGTCCTAACCGTTGTACCACCGACGCACAATCATAAATAATACTAGTTTAAAATTCATCACCCGCGTTATGATCGGAGTATATGGAGGGGGGAGGGATCAAAGATTTGAAACTTCCTCTAGCCCAGATATTGTGGTTGGCAAATGGGGTGGGGTTGCTGTCCTCTCATTCTCCTTCCGAAACTTAATATCGTCTAGATAAGAAATGAGGAGTGTGTGCGTCATCTTGAACTACGTTCGTAGTGCTCGGCTGACGAGCATTCTTCCAATCGAAACACTCATGTATACAAAATATTGTTGTTTTTTTTAATTTTTCTGCGTCAGTGAGTGTTAGATCTATTCTCACCAATCTTAGATTCAGAAAATTTCTTTCATTAATCATTAATTTTGAATTCTGACAGAAAAATATTATTTTTTCGCGGGAGTTTCAAAAATTCTTCAAAAATTTAAACAATAACAAATTTAAATAAATAAATAAATAAATCATAATGATAACTTATTAGCGGATAAAAATTATTTTTTTCATTGTTGTTTAATCGAGGGTGAGGCATTCGACCATTTTTTTTTCATCACACCACATTGCTGGGTGGGCTGGCAGGCGGTGGGGTTAATTCTTTCTTGAAGATGGTTGACTAGACAACAATATTCGCAAACTTAATAGTCTGATTCGATGACTAAAGCTTCAAAAATGAACACCGGATATAAAATCAAATCTCCACGCTCAGAGGAAGTGAAACGAAGTTTGTTCAATCACACCTTCATTCATTCATTCATTGAAACCAACAAACAACTCCGTGTTGGTTGATGTTGAAGGGATTCATGAGAAAATGACAGAAATTGTCATCACAAAATAAATATAAAAATAAATAAATAAATAAATTTTGAATTTAGGGTATAAATATGTATTATATAAACAACAGGGTTTATGTTCAATATTCAAGACGTTTGTGAAAGTAAGTGAACGACTGAATGCCACTACGAGTGTGTGTGTGTGTGCGCGCTTTCAAAAAAGTAAAATGGAGGATGAAAGCATTTTAAACAAACTTCGTTTGTTTATCTCTCTCTTAATCTGTTTGTTGTTTTTGTTTCTCCATTTCATCTTAAAATTTCAGTAACTTAAATATAATAATTTCTAAAAAAAATATGATATTTATTTTTCTGTTAATTAGATTTTAAATTCAAATGGGATTTTCCATTAAAGGGTTGTTGAATTTAGGAGAAGACCTATGCTACTGGTACGATTTATCAGTAGTAGTTAGTATAAATAACGAGACGTTCATCGATCAGGACACTAGAATATCAAAATAGTGGAGAGGTAGAGATTTGATGGAGGATTTCATCATGAGCAGTTGACATCAATTATAGAACTGGGAGTACTGCTAGACAGCTGTTTCCTCAGCCTAGTTTGGGACTCTTCAGCAGCACTCACCCACCTCAGCGGTTTGAACCCATGACCTTATGGTTACAAGACGAGCTGCTCGTTGACCATCGAGCCATTGGGACCTGATCCAAAGGCCCATGAATTCTAACTTCTGTCAATTTATGACACGGCTCTATCACTTCGTAATATCTTCTTCGATGATGAAATCCTCCACCCTATCAAACATAAAAACCCTAAAAAAACCAATGCTTGAAAATTAATCTGATGCTCACATGCCACTGGTTTTATTCAGGTAGTTAGTTACCTAGGGTTCTAGTGGGAAGCTGTGACCAGTAGGATACAGAAGGTTGAAGATGAGGCAGTGACTCACCGAAGAAGACATCCCGATGTGATTTTACCAGACAGAAATAGCTAATATATATTCATTAAATTTTGCGAAGAAAAGGCACTTAAACCATTCAGATCATCATCAGTAAAATGTTGTTGGAGATATATGGAGACGACACGTTAGTAATAATGCAAAACAGAACAAACGATTTTGAGAAATTCTTCTCGCATAGATAAACAGTCATGTTGACTCAATAAAATTCACTATGGAAATAGAGAATAAAATTGGGAAACTGCCTATTTTAGACTGCAAACTACAAAGAATGACAGACGGTAGCATGAACAAACGACGCTGTATAGTAAAACTAAACACTCTGAGTGATTCCTTGATTACCTATCACTCAGCTTCTCCACTCACGGTAAAACAAGAATCAATCCAAGGTCTTGCAAATAGAATACGTAGACTTACAACAACACAAGATAACCAGCGTTAAGAAAAACAAACGTCCTATTCAAAATACTACTCGAAAACAACAACCCAAAATAATTTTTCAGAGATAATATAAAATAGAGGACGAAACAAGTTGGAAGAATGCAAAAAAACAGTCACAATACCATACAAAAGTCGACAGTGGCCTGTACCATACAAAAATAGTACATCTGAGGCCAGACGATTCAAAGAAACCTCAAAAATTTCCGGATTCGCACCACGTTTAAACAGATGAATCTAATCAAAAATAAAATAAATCCACTGAAAGATCCCATAAAAATGATGGATAAAAACAATCCCATTTAAAACATATCTTGTGCCAACTGACTGTCTGACTAAATATGTGGGGCAAACACGTTCAGATCCCTCAAAATAAGAGTGAATGAACATAAACGCCTAACTAAAGTTGAATAAGGTATTAAGAAGATAAAATTCGTGAGATGATATCTTCATTTCGTAGTTTCTTTACAACCGCTTTACAACTGGCAACATGGTTAACAATAATAAAATAAAGATCATGAAAATTACTCAGTTAAATAAAAACAAAAGTACATACTAATGACCAATCATATTTAGATAGGTCATGCAGTCCATGGTAGGCGAAGATTGAAGTCTATTGATTTTTGTACACACAGTTTAGGCTGTATGTGATTAATCCAAAGTGCTTCCATCACCTTCAATAACCTTGAATTAGAGTTATGTGATGAAATAATTGTGAAACAGTCATTAATACTGATTGATTTCGTCACCTGACATTATTACGTGCTTTGCAATGGATGATGCTGGATTTCTATTCAGATTACTCACATTGGGATTTTCTCTATGATTTAGTAGCCATTTTGGAACATGTTCTTTTCGACCAAGACATTGGAATGTTCTGTTGGTTCTACCTATATAGGTGTTACCGAAACAACTGCAGGTGAACTTGTAGACACACTTTGAAGTAGAGTCCACAGAATTTCGTCCTTTAATCGTAGGTACAGGGATCAAAAATGTTCGGCAAATTAGAAAAAGAGATTCGGCGGCGTAAAATGTGCGTTTGATGGCTGACCGAAGTCTTTGAGCTAGCTGTCAACTGCATAATCTAGTAGCCCTTGAATGGTAATAA